TTCTACTACTTTTACAAATATTCCGTGATTGTGAATAACTTACAGGTGACAAAATATTGCTATCATTGTCTTGATACAACTAGATAGCTTTTCCCACGATATAGCTTCTCCCATAAATAGCTATGTACCCTATCTTTTCTGTAGCAATACTCTCTACTAAAATCAAGAAGGAAAGATACTAACAGCGAACAGTATTAGACTTCTTGACATATTTTATTTAGCCTGCTCTATTGATCAGGAAAAAAAGCAAGTAAAAGCACTTTAAAATAATTCAGATGTCCTCTCTTCCTTGAGTAAGCTAGCAAAATTCAATCAAAACATCTACTTGTTTCAAGAGTTTCGTGAAAGATTTTCAAGGCTTTGTTCTAGCTGGGGTGGTGTGAGACCTTCTGCGGTTCAGCCTAAGAGTCTGACCCTAATGTTTTTCTGTCTCCAGCAATTTCTGGAGTCTGTTGCATAAGTTCCTGTCAGCACAGGTCTGGTGCAGGTTAAAGAAAACCCCCCACGTCCTTGAAATTGTTAAGCTGGTATTTGAGCCTTATGCAGAGACTGGTAGGTATAAACAGGTAGATTTGTACTGCAGGTATAAACACTGCATAGCATCTAGAATAATAAATTATCCCATTTTTTTTATTTTTTTTCACCTAGTCCTCGTAGCTGATGTGTTAGCAGTTCTTTTTCTGTAGCACATTTTGCTTTTTTAGCTACTATGTATAAAAGGAACAAATAATTTTTTTCCGGCTGGTCTTACTTACCAAAAGTCAGCTGTTGCATTCAGCTGTTACTCCTTTTATTAAAATAGTTTCTAACTTTTCCTTACATCTACTGACAGGATAAAGACCTTGACCTCTTACATGCTTGTATGTAAACTTGCTAGTTTCAAGGGGTAAAAATGCAACTGCAATTTATATGAGGGGGAAGAGCTGTTCTTTGTTCTTCAGATGCAGCAAACCCATGCATACTTTAGAATTACTGCCTTTTGTCATTATTTTTGGTGCATGGCATAGAAGCTGTAGCTATTTGTCTTGTTAACTGAGTAGCATGCACTAGGAAGTCCTAGGTGTTGGTTTTTATTTTGCTTGAATACCCACAAGCCAAGTCACAAGAATACTCAGCATTTCAGTTCCCTGCTGTGTCTCTGCAAAGTAAACATTCTCATAATAGCAGAAATAATGTGGTCCGCTTAAAAAAAACCCACAAGTCCAGTGTTATTTTTAATGGTTATAGATACATTATCTTTTTCTGTATCTAGTTCAGACACTCTAAACACAACCTTTTCCCTAGTACATTGCATTTGTGTCTTCTTTTCAGCAGGCTTGTTTGGCCTGAAGTGATAAGAAGGTAATGCTCTGTGTTTGTTAAATGTCATTGTTGCTTACACTGATGCATAGTTTTGTGGGTTTAGGGAAATAATTTTAGGTCAGCAGCAGTGGCTTTTCTGATTACAGAAATAATCTTTATCCACTAATTATGTATTTATATTAAGAAACAAGTCTGAAAACACTTAAGAATAGAAGTATGCTAGAAAAGAGGACTTGCATGGCAGGAAGAAATCCTGTGTGCAAGTGTTCTCCCACTGTTATAGCAAGTTCAGATTAGTAGGCACAATGACCAATAGCTATGTATAAAAGCAGTTGGTACCTATCTCACCAAGGTGAGAGAGAGTGGCCCCTCAGGAGGTCATCTAGTTCAGCCCCCTGCTCAGAGCTGGGTCACCTAGAGCAGGCTGCTCAGCCCATGTCCAGTCAGAGTTTGCATATCCACAAGGTTGGAGACTCTGCAACCTCTCTGGGCAACCTATGCCAGCTTGTGACCCTTTTGTAATTAAACAAAAAAGATATTCTTCTTATGTTCAGAAAGAGCACACAACTCCAAGCAACATTAACTTAATTCAGGAGCAACTTCATCCTTGTTGCTTTTTGATGCAAATTGAAGAGTCATAAAACCTGATTCTCTTTACATTCGAATTATTTTTTGGAGGTTTGCAAGAGATGTGATTACTGTTCACCCAGTGGCATGCTGCTTAATCTGGAAATGTCCCAGCTGTGGTTAATAAACATTTGCCAAGATAAAGCCTACATCTTTATCCTAATAACCTGAAATAATTAAATGTATTTTTAACAACTGTTTACTTCGTGTTTATTTACTAAGTATCCAGGTCTGTTTACTTGGAGAGCCAGTGTCAGAGGATACAGATGGCAAGTGGATTGTTCATTTTCCATACTTGCATAAAAAGTCTGGAGGGGTACAGGTAGATAACAAGAGCACAAATCTTGATCAGGCAAAGAGCAGTTCCAGGGAAATAAGTATTTTGGAATTTTTTTTCATTCATCATGGATCTTGTCTTTACTAATGAAAATACGTAAATGTTTAACATATATAAGCATCACAGGAAAGTGAGGCGATGATCTGTTGCTTCTGCTGCTGCTACATCAATTGCCTAATCATAAGTAATAAAATTTTACTAGCAGGCTGAAATTTTTTTTAGGTCTGTAAGTGAGAACAGAAGAGTCTATGTTTTTTAGTTAGTATAGCACAGAAGCCAGCTGTTACTTATCAATGACATGATTCAAGCCCTAGCATGTGTGAAAATAAATAAATAAATACTCCCCTTGATTTTTCATCAACATGCCTGCTTGGTCTCCTCAGACACAAAGTTTATTAACTACTGCAGTCTTTCCTTGTGATGTAGTGTCTTTCCCTAAGCACTGTCTGTATATAAAGTGTAACCACTGTTGAATAGCTATTTTGTCAATGTCCAAGGTGTTAGCAAAAAACTTTGAAGAAGTCACATTCAGTAACGGCATATATTGGCTGGATCCTTAATGCCTTGTCAGGGCTTTAGGTCAGCTGTAATACTTGCAGCACCTGCACTGCTGGAAACTGTCCTTATAGTCACTGACATGTGTAGCTGGAGGAGCTTTAGTGTGGTTGAGATAGTGGTCCTCTTTTGAGAGCAGATGTTCCTGACTTTACCAAAGCAAGCAGAGTTCAGAAAATGCCTCTGTCCTTTGCTGCTGCCTCTGCAGCCTCAGCAAAAGTGGAGGTGGGATTGCTGGTCTCTGCAGCTCAGCAGTAAAATTGCCTATTGCTGGTGAGTTCAGACACTGCCAAAGAGTAAAACATGTTTATGAAAAATTGCTAAAGCAGTTGCACCTTCAAATGTGCATAGAATGAAATTTTATGTTTTACTGTAATTCTGATATGTTATGCCACTCAGAATTGTTTCTTTGAAGGAGTGTTGAGTAAATAAAACTGAAGAAGACCTTAAGCTCACTGTAGAGCAAATGCATATTGTTTGAGGTACTAAAGATTTGTTCTACCCTTAATGTTGTTCTTGCATATGATTAAGAAGCTCAGCACAAACCTAATTGAGCCCAAGGCTTTCTGACTGGTTTGGGACATATCAGAGAATGGACTTAAAAATTCCTGACCCTGCTTTTCTTGCCCATTCTTCGCTATTGTCTTTGCTGAATGATTAGCTGATGACTTAAGCCTTGTGCTGAAGGGTGAAGTAATGCTTCCTGAGTTCCTGTTTTGTAATGTGTTACTTACTGTTTTAAAACCACTAGCAATATGTTTATGAATATTGATCTATATATCTACCTGCCTACCTGCCTATCTATCCATATCTTTATCTTTGTTTCCTTGTCTAGAAAAGGAATCCTATTGAGGTCTTTATGAGCACCCAGAATATTAATTCAATTTTCACGGTTCAAATTTTTTTTCCCTCAAAGTCCTTTACTGTTTCCTCAGTTAGTTTATGCACATTACTGCATTATAATTAAGCAGTAGATAGCCATAAAAATGTCTGAAAAAAACAGAGGCCGGGTATCCAAATTATTCTCTAGGTTTTGGGATGCCTTTTCTCATAGTGAAGGTGGTTCTTCTGGGCTGCTATTTTAGTCTGCTGCTCCCAGACTTTTTTCTGTTCTGTGTGCAACCAAATACTTGTAAGTAAAGCGAGTTCCAGTTGATGCTTGACAGGGGACATTTGTTTTGTCAGGAAATTAACACACTTTGCATGGATTTTTCTCAAAGTAACTTTGGTAAATGAAACTGGCAGAATTAGTAGTTGTAATCATAGATGGTGGCCTGACATTTTTATTACTGCAGGAGCAGCACAGACTGCAGAAGAACCTTAATCTCCTAGGTCAGTCAAAGCAGTGTGATGTAACCATGCACTGGCCTCACAGCAGCTTAACAGAGAGCATATGCATATCGCTTCCATCTAACCATATCAGCAACTGAGACCGTTTGCTGCCACTCAGAATGTGTCACATGGCAGTTTGGGTTCTAATTACAACATCTGTGATCTGTAGCAGACTGCTTTCTTATACAGATGCCCTGCAAGTCATACTGTATGTGAGGTAATACTAGTTAAGTGTGTCATCTAGGATAGTAAAATAAAAATTAACATCTAAAATAATGAATATAGTTATTTTAGAATACAGCCACTTACATTTTTTTAAAAAATCCCACAAAACTGCCATAACAATGTAATATGCTCTTACAAAGGGGAAAGCAAATTTGCAAGAGACTCATTAACATACGTGACATGAGTGTTTGAGTACGAGAAGGGAGTGAAAATAACAGATTAAATAACTTTACCAATTAATTAGTCCATGTCTTCTTGTATGCTTTTTGAAGTAACTCTCTCTTTCATTTTGAGTTGGAATTTGTCATGTTATAAAGGTTGCTTCAGTAGCAAAAGTTTTACTGAAGATGAAGAGCATTGCAAGGGACAAAGTTCTTTTGATAAAGTGTTGATGGTGGTGAACTCCAGGCAAGGAGACAAATGAGAAAATCCTCTTCTCTGTATTTAGCTGTTATAATGTGTCTCTTGAATAAATGCAAGATCATTTCAACTGGTCTTTTATTTTTGAAACTAAATCAAAGTATCCTTCCAGGAAAATCACAAAAGGGAGCCTCTTAATTTTGCGATTGGTTTGTCATAAAGTACCAGATGCTAATGTGTATTTTTTTTCCCCCTCTTGTAGGTGCCTGAGATTATAAGCTCTATTCGACAAGCTGGAAAAATTGCCCGACAAGAAGAGTTTCAGAATAATCTCTCAGATGTTGAAGATCCTTTTGCCAAAAAGTTTGAGGTGCTCTTCTGTGGACGAGTAACAGTAGCACATAAAAATGCACCTCCAGCACTCATAGATGAATGCATTGAGAAATTTAATCGTGCAAGTTGTACAAAAAATTCAGATTTCAACTCATCATCCCAACAACATGAAACTGCCAGTAACTTTGGAGGTTTCTCTTTCAGCAGCAAATTGCGGTCTGTATTCCAGCCCTTGGTCAATGAACAGGAGGAAAAAAGGCCAATTAGGAAATCTTTTTCTCAACCTGGACTTCGTTCATTTGCTTTTAAGAAGGATTTCCAAGAGGGAAGCCTTAGGAGTAACAGCTTCGTCAGGTCTTTTGAAGAAGATGCAATTTCACTGAACCTAAAAAGTCAACTCATCTACGGACACAGTGTTGTGCAGCCAACTGACATTGCGGAAAACCGGACTATGTTGTTTACGGTAAAGCAAGATTTGCAGCTTCTGGTGGCATTTTCACTTCTTGGAGCTTGGAGTGGCAGACACCAAAGCAGATGTTCTGACAGATGGCAGTTACTTTTTTGATAACTTAATTGCAATTACCAGAGCTTAACTTAAATGTGCCTGTTTCTCTGGAGAGCATTACTTGTTAGTGCAAATTGGTTTACATGTTCTAAATAAGTTTATGTTAAATAGTTTAAAACAGCACTGCCTGAAACCTTGGGCTTATAAAGAAAACTTTTAGAAAGTTACTGCAAGTTAGTAGGTAGTTGTGCAGTTGCAGAATGGTATGTACACTTACACTAGTTAGTAACAGCAGAAATAAATTTCCAGGGGAATGACTTATCTGTAGCTAGAACAGAAAGAGCAAACCATGACTGAGAGCTAGTAGACTTTGTCCCATGATAAACAGTGTAATTGATGAAGGTGCTCCTGCTGCCAACATGTTTGTGTAATGATGGAGTAGTAGTGTAACAGCTTCCTATGCTATCCACTCGTGCCTCCACTCCTGCCCTGATTTGGTGTGGCTAGCAATGCCCTTGCCTTGACAGGTGAGCAGCAAAACTATTTTCTAAGAACTGAGAAGCAAGTAAGGAATGTGGTATTTGCTCCTCTTACAGTCCTCATGATACATAAGCTATGCAACATATTTTACTTAGTTTGTGTCTTCTGAGCATGATACAAACCTGGAGCTGATACTGCAAAGACTGACTCTCCTAAGGTCATCTTGGATCCATCAGCTGCTGCTGGAGCTGAGCATTCTTAAGGCCAGTAATGGAGTGGCATGCGTGCAATTATATCAGGTTTTTTAAAGCAGGGAAAGAGAATCCTTAAGGAGAATTGCCACTGTGTTATATCTGTAAAAAGCATGCAGAAAATGTTGTAGTCAGCTATACCTGAATTAATGCTTGTGTTTGGTTGTGGCATCAAACAGTGAGTGCAAGAAGGTGGAAGGATGTTTCTTCCCTAGAAAAAGAAACCCATGTTCACCTCCTTCCCCTGAACATGTATTTCACATAGAAAATATAGGTACACTTTGTAATAATAATGCCTAATTTTAAAAAAATCCTGACTCCATTATTGATTCATGGCACATATTTTAGAAATAGAGAGATTATAGTTGGGCTGGGTAGGTCCAGATCCTCTTACTCCAGTGTGTGCATTTTTAATTTATAGTAAATAGATGCAACAGTTCTCAAGGACATCTGCAGCTTCACTCTGAATATAATGTCAGTCACCTGCTGGCAGCCACATTTCCGAATCATGAGATGTTGCTGATATGGCTTTGTGTCTTGGGTTGCTTTTTGCCAGGGAAAATATTGTTTAGTATGCACAGCTGTATTCTCTTCCTATTCAACCAGTCCAAATTCAGCTGAATGTAAGGAAGTGAAGTAACTCTAGTTTGTGCCTTCAGTATCCACAGGCAGCAGCTGATGGCAGAGCTGAGTTTGTTGGTTACCTGTCCCTCGTGTTCAGCAGGTTCTGAGTTGGGGAATGCAGGGAGAGTGCTTGGGTCTCATCAGTTTGTGTGTGGCTACATATGGAATGCTTACAAGTGGCTTAGTATCCAGAGGGAAAAAAAAGGTTGGTTTATTCTCAGTTAGTTGCTTAGATTTTGCCCAGGACTGCAGCAAAGGTTAGTTGATGTATGAGGTGTGAAAAATACTCAGATTAATTATCTGGCAGCTCTCCTCACTTGATTCAAAAAGTCCTGATTTTCTTATATTCTTCCTGAAGAGCTGCTTTCCTAGACAATTTCTTAGGATCTGGGGGAGGAGGAGGGGGCATTTTTAGGTTTTTCTCCTGGCTGTATATTGAGGGTGAGGAGGAAGAGGTTGATTGGTTTGGGTTTTTACCCCTTGTTCACTTGACTTCAAATGATCACTACTGCCCAAGGGCAAAATGTAGAAGAATTATGTGGGACTGAGCAGTAAGAAGGAGCCTCTTGATGCAGGGAGGGGAAGACAGCAGCAATCAGGAGTAGGTGTTGGAAGGAATAGCCCCACGAACAGAGGCAAGATCAGCCCCAGGGACAATACAAGGAAACCAACAGGCATCTGGGGAAAACCATTGTGACTGATTGATGTGAAAGAAGAGGTGGAAGGTGAATGCACAGGACCATTTGTAGACATACACAGGTGGCACATCTGACTTGATCTATTCACACACGAGATTCATCCCTTCCCACTTCCTTTAGAAATACATTTACATTGGTGCTACTGATGTTTTTATGTGCATCTTCTGGGATTTGGTACTGATTGGAGCAGGTTTCTCCAAATCATGCTCATGAGTGAATCCAAATTCCACCTGTATTCCTAAAACCTGATATGAGACTTGTTTTTAGCAGTCTCTAACATGCTAGAAAATATGAGGAATTTAAATTTTTCTATTACTATCTTACAAAGATGTTGCCAGAAGCTGAAAAAATGAAAACAATAGTTTCACCTTAAAAATGCCTCTTTCCCATCAATGCTTAACATAATCTTTTGCCTGTACAAATGGCCTACAGATTAAATTACATTAGAAAATATACTCTAGTAAATTCATTTGTATAGTTAAGTGCTTTAAATTAAAAGTTATGTGTGGCATAAATAAATAAATAAAACTCAAAAAAATTATTAGGTAGAATACAGGAAGAGGCACATGCTTGGATTTAAATTTTAAAGCAGTCTCATTAGGTAGCTTCTGTGACTGTGGTACATTCCAAGACTGCAGAAAATAAGAAAAGGGAGTGTGAGTGTATTTCTCTCAGGGCAAAGTAGGTTACTTGTGATACAATATTGCTCTCACCTGTTTAAACATTTTTTTCAGTCTCTTGTCTCGTTAAACCTCAGTGCCATAATGTGCAGGGCTCTCAGTGCCAAATCAGTGATGTTGCAGTATTCTTTCTGGTAGTAATGCGCTAATTGATATAAATACACAAGGAGAAAAAAAATTGAGATCTATATTCAGGAAACATTTTTATAGTGGGTCAAAAGGGAGCGTAATGTTACTTTTCAGCATCTTGAAATTTATTTTGTTCTTTTTAGATTGGCCAGTCTGAAGTTTACCTTATCAGTCCTGACACAAAAAAAGTTGCAATTGAGAAAAGCTTTAAAGAAATATCCTTTTGTTCTCAGGTAAGATTGTAATGTATTCTTTTTCTATTTTTTTATTGTATAAATATTCTCTAATTGTGAGTGCTCATGTAATCCTCTCTCCTTGCACTCCACATGAAGTCTCTCAACAGTAGTTTCAGTGATTGCTATTGGAAAGCTGCTAATTAATCAGTAATTTTATAAGACCATTCCTTTTCCATGCTTTGCATTGTGATTTCTGAGATAAAGACTCTCTTCTGCGTGCAGTGGATGAATAATACTAGCTAGAAGGAGCACACTGGTCAGGAGCACACTCTTGTTTGAGATTGCAGTGAGAATGATTCACGGTTGTGCAAATCATGGTATCTCTGAGCCATATTTTTCAAGAAGTGAGAATGAAAGGAGAAAAATTATATGTAAGAGTTATCTGAAAAATGCTTTAAAAATACATTTTTTTTAAAGAATATAAGTTGCATGTGTTTAAATAAGGACAGTTCTCTGACATATAGACGTGATGCATATGTGATGCACTGTAGGCACGCATGTGTCAGAGACCCCTCATTCACTAATCCCTGTTCCTTGTGCCACAGAGTTTGCTCTGTCCTTCTGCCTGAGTTTTTTTGTTTGTTTGTTTGTTGTGTAGGTTTTGTTTTCCATAAATTACTTTGGTTTTCAATTTGATAATAATAGCTTTCATCACTAAACATACAGGCACGTATTCTAAAAATTTCAGAGTAAAATACATTTTGAATAGAATTTATTAATCTTTGGGTCTGCTATATGGGTCTTTTATACTTCATCCATTAAAAAAAAACAAAAACAAAAAACAAAACGATGTCTGACTTAATTGAAACTCAAAATATTTGTGCAGTATTAGGTTCTATAATAGGACAGAATTGTAATGGCCAGATGTCTTTAATGTAGCTGTAACAAAGATAAGTGACCTATATGTAATGCTATTTTGTTCTTTTCTTCCTGAAAGAAATACAGGTACAAAACATTGAAAATAGGTATGACTGTTTCATTGCTGTTGTTTCTTTGCTAGGGAATTAGACATGTGGATCACTTTGGGTTCATCTGCAGAGAGTCTTCAGAAAATGGAGGCTTCCACTTTGTTTGCTATGTCTTTCAGTGTACAGATGAAGCACTGGTAAGTGAAAGAAAATAATAGCCAAATAGAATGTTAGGCCTTAAAACTCTTCTATTGTTCTATGCTCTATATTTTACTGAATGTCCTCCAATCCTATTCAACTCAGAAATGCATTTCAAAAATGTTACTAATACAGCAGTCTGCAAGAGACCTTTTCATTTGTTTTGAGGGCAGAAGTTAAAATCCTCTTTAAAATCCACTAAATCTTCATTTCACAAACTCAGACTTTATGCCTCATTTTGGGGGTGAGTTTCTCTTAGAACACCTGTTCTGAAAATCAGGACTACACTCCAGTGGTCTAAGTAAGACAGGTGCATCACAACTGCAGTAAGCTTTTTGATCGTAGACAAGAAAGGGGTTGGAGATAGAGGGTATGATATTTCATTAGACCACAATAATAAGATTGGGTGGCCTGGAAGAGACAAGAGTTCATGATGAGTTTTATTGTGCTTGTGTGTTTATGCACAGAACCAACATAGCAACAGTTTGTCTTCTTAATCATAAGCACATTCCCTAGCAAGGGGCAGTATCATTCTAAAAGACTGTTGTGCTTGTGTTAAGGAAAACAGTGGAGGAGTGAAAATTTCTTCCTTTGCATGCTGTTCTTTTCAGGTTGATGAAATCATGATGACATTGAAACAGGCTTTCACCGTGGCTGCTGTGCAGCAGACTTCCAAGGCACAGCCCCAGCTCTGTGAAGGGTGTCCTATGCAAAGTTTGCATAAACTCTGTGAAAAGATAGAAGGTGAGGTTTAAAGAATTTTCTGGTTGAATATTTTTTCTGGCAGTTTCATTTGTGGGGGACAGTATGTAAAATCCTAAGGAAATTAATGCTTTAAAAGAGCTTGGGACTTGGGGTGGAAAGTTGAGAGCCAGTACTTTTATTCAGAGAACTGTAGTGCTAGGTTTTCTGTAAAGTAATAAGAATTTTCTAACAAGAGTTAAGTTCCTTTATTGTGTTTTAGTTGAAAACTGTTTGCAAGTGTAAACATTAGTGAGTTGCAGCTTGTTTGGTTCTTTCAGCCCTATAAATGCAGAAGACTGTAGATAAGGAACCTCTGAAGGATAGGTGCCACAATAGCTATGGCCTGCTGTCCTATTGAGTCCACTTAGAAACTGGCATTATGCTATCACCAAGCAGGAACTGAGCAGTATGCTTTTTATATGTGTGTTTGTGGTGTTGATCTCTGCTCCTTCGTGAAAATGCAGAAATTAGAATTGTAGTTGTTGCCCAGGAACAGACATTCAAGTAATAAAAAAACCTCTTTACTTTTCAGCAAATTTCACTGTTAGATTTTTGTTCATTTAAGTGATGTTTGGGATAAATAAAGGGCAACAGCAGCTTGTCAGATCATGTGGCAGTGGCTTGTTGGACTAAAACCTGCCTAGTGTTAATTTGATGAAACTGGAGAATTCCAAAAACTACTGTCGCTCTTTTTTGACTAGCTGTGATTTCTGGGAAGTTTCTTAAAGGCAAATGCTCCTTCAGTCATGCTGTCTTGTTAACTGCATCATCTGCTTCAGAAGCACATATTCCATGATCAGAAACTGAAGTGCACAATACTGTTGATCATTTGCTGTTTTTCCACAGAAAATAGAGGAAAGGAATTTAATCCCTGATGAGAACAGAAAAAATAATCTGAATGAAAGGGTAGTCTGCTTTAGCCTGTCAATAAATGTTTTCTTCAAAAGGCAAAGTAAGACTTTCAACAACAAGCAATAAATTTACTCATTTTCAGAAGGGCCCACAGCATAGAAATTGGAGAAAATGAAAGAGAATTATATTTATACCATAAACAGTATCCAAGCTGCACTGCACAAAACACCAACAAAATAGCCTGCTAAAATGCAGTAGATTGTGAGTTTATTTTATCTTGTGTGATAATGGAATCTTCAGCTAAGAGTATAATCCTGGTCTGTGCTCAGTAAATCTCCTCATCGCAGAGTTCATGTCCCTCATTTTAAAGACATGAGTTTAGCAGTAGCTTTAAATTAACCTAGAGTTCTTTCTAATGCCCTCTTATGAAATCATGGAATGGGCCAGCTCAAATAATTAACAAGCTTTGGGATAAATTGTGAGCATACTTATGTGATGGATTAATTCTGAAAAATTTGACTCTAATTTGTTCATTTTTGTTCCTCTTGGTAGGTTTGCACCCTTCTAAGACTAAACTGGAACTACAAAAGCATCTAACCACACTAAATAACCAGGAACAGGCCGCTGTTTTTGAAGAGGTTCAGGTAAGCCTTATTTCCTACAAGACTTTAAAGCAGTTGGTGTTTTTTGCTAACATCTGTGTAAAACACAGAGGTTATTTTCATTTTTTGTGAATCATTCATTATTTTCACTTAATAGACTGTTAGCCAGCTAGTCTTTTAATTTCAGTTGTTTTTCCAGAGACTTACCTTTTGATTAAAATTACTGTTTTACTCATTTTTCTTCTCCTAATACTCCTTGCTTACCATGGAGATGTTGCCTTCTCACTGCATAAAACTGAACATATTTTTTATGAGTGAAGGCAATAACATCGACTGTGAGGGTATTCAAACTGTTACTTGGACCAAAACAAATTTCTGTAATACTCTCAGATGAGAAAATTTCTTGCCTAAAATTCATCATAGATCTTAATTCTTGTCAAACTAGCTAAAGAAGTTAAATTTTCTATCTTATTAATTAAATCTATTTTAGGAAAGAGGAAGGCATAGCTGTATTTAAAACAGATGATGTGCATTGTAAGAAATTCACCAGGATTGAAACGCTGTTGAAGTCAGACTTTTTAAAGAGTAATGTTTCCTTCCCCTTTGAGTCATTTCAGTCTCTTTGTGTGTTTCCATGTGGTAGTTTATCACTCAATACCAAATTTGGAAGTTACTCTGTGGAACCAATTCCATGAGCTGAGTGATTTCTTAGTGTAGGGCAGCTAGCAGCACTGTTGCCTTTTAGTGTTCTGCACACAGTCTAAAGCTTCCAGTAGTCACAGGAAACTGTTAATTGGTTCTGGTGAGGGTCTGCAAACCATTAACTTGGTAAAACTAAGGGTAAAGTACAAATCTCCTGCCCATCTTTCTCAGCTAACTTTTTCAGTTGGAATGTGACAGTCTTGCAGATCCATGTGTTGTTACCACGATTTGCATTTTTAGGTAACTGTCTTCCTGTGGTATTTCTATTAATCTAATGTGCTACCTTGGCATTAATTCATACTGTGTCCTCTGCATTATATCAATAGGCTTAAGGCAGCATATGTTTTTCAAAAGTTAAGTTTCTGGGATTAAATTCTTTAATAAATTGTTTTAAAATCTTCTCTTACAATCATTGAGGTCAAAATAGAATGCAGCACAGATAAATAGGTTCATCTTGTGCACTACTTTATAAAAAACCTATGTCATTTCCCAAAAAACAAGATGTCTATTTCCCCAGAAACTAAATTTCTAGGAGCAGTGTTGTGAATCCTATCTCTAGGACAGTACTCCATGTGTGCTACAAACTCAGAACTACAGTAGTTCAGTTTTCTTTATATCGAAAGAAAATTGGCAAAAATATTTTTAAAGCCTTTATTTGCTTGTGGCAGTTTGATATCTGTACAGATGTCCTCTGTCTTAGGTGTAAATTCTGTCATGCATGAAGTGAGTTCAAATGTTTGTGTGGCTGTATTGGTGCTTTGCCTGGGACACTGGTGTCCTCTGGTGGACTGGAGTAGTAGCATTAACAGATTAAACTTGTTCTACATTGACGATCTATTGCAGTGACAAATGAAAAGTGCAAAGATTTGCAAACTGTTACACAAATGTATAATTACTGTGTTTCTTATGTTTTCAACTACAGAAATTAAGACCACGAAATGAGCAGAAAGAGAATGAGCTGGTTATCTCTCTTTTGAGAAACATGTATGAAGAAAAACAGAAGGACCATGTTCATGTTGGAGAAGCAAAACAGGTAAATAATCATTCAATTTTAGTTCATATAAAGAGAAGCCAGGAAAAAAATTTCAATTTGAATTTCAAATCTTTCCAAAGGCAAATTTCCATCACTTGCAATTTGAAACTTCAATGTGTAAGCAGTGGTGAATACTGGGTTTGCTTATGGTTCATAAACTATTGCCATGTGCCAAAACAGGTATCTCCAATTTTGAGGTCCCTGGTACAGCCTGATTTCAGGCCTAGGAGACAGAGGTGCAAACAAGGCAGACTGCTAAATCATTTATTTGTTCTCACTTCAATGAAAATTGAGTATATGTGAGAGAATGTACAATGAATTTGTGATTGCTCTCCACTGATCTGTGGCATTTGCCATATCACTGTTACTATTGAGTCAGTGTAATGACAGCACATTGGATTTGTTCATTGATAAAGCCTATTACATTTACTCAGGACTGGAAGTTATTTCTTGTGTGCAAACAACCATTTGAAATGGCCTTAAGATGAGGAGGATTACTGAAGAAACAGCAGCAGACTCTTTCCCATGTCCAAAGAGATGAGCTATCTTTTATCCTCTATCAGGTTCCATCAGTGCTGTTTAACTGGCTATTTATACAGCACAGTTAACGTTTTCCCAAAGGAGTTAGTGATTTTGGATGCCTTGGTTTGTGGGTAGCTACCTTGAGACAACCCAAGGAGGTTAGTATTTAAAAAAGGATTCCATCCATCCATTCTCAGGAAACTTTCAGTTACAAATATTTAGACCCTTTTAAAAGTCATGACTGTCCCTCTACTGTTGGTTGGTAATTCCACTGTGATGATTGCTGTCAGTCATTTGTGATATAAACTAGCAAATTAATGTATGGAGAATAATTAGACCTGTGAAGAAATTAGAAAAGTAGCAGCAAATCTTCCTTTACTGTATTTTCACTTTGTTAATCTCTTCTCCTTTTATGGCTTACTAACTAATTATTGATTTCCCTGAGTAAACAGAAAGAAAAAAGCATATTTCACTCTCTGATTTATTGTCTTGGGCATCTCACCTGAAATATGCTTTTAAGAAAAAAGCATTTCAGTTGTGGGATAAGAGGAAGAAAACATTGCCTGAAGTCCTCTGTCATCATACCTGAAATATTTTTATTTGGTGTAATGCTAGCTGATGGTCAGTCACAAACAGCTTGGAAATAGGGATATACAAAATGAGATAAGATCTTAGGATGTCTTCAATGATTTGAAAATTTATAAGGCTTGCTGTGATCTGTTTGCTCAGTTCCTGAAACCAAATTGGTTAATATGACACTTCCAAAGATGCCAGTGTTCTAAGAAGAGAACTGACTTCCCCATAGTCTATCATTTATCTCAGTATAACATTTTATATTTACTCTGATAATTTATCTCCAGGCCTGTGTAATAGCAGATACCTTTGAACACATACTCTTCTTTGTCTCACCAATCATTAACCCATGATACCCTGATGTCCCTGTTCCCTTCTGTTCTGCATATTCACTTTCATGCTTCTCACTGCCTTTTAAAAAAATACATTTAAATCAGGAGAAAAAGATAAATACGATATTAGTACATGGATCTTGTTTAACAAAAACACTTCAAAATAAGTGTGTTTTTATAAGAATGTAATAGCAAGCAGCATCTGATTTACCTTTGGAGAATAAAATGAGGCACAAAAGGCAAAGATCACAGGCTGAGATAAGAACAATTTACTAGAAACAGAAACGAGGTAAGAAAATGACCAGTAATAGCAACAATATTAGTCACAGAGGGTATAAGAAAAGAAATTACTCACAGAGAATCCACCCCACAATGATGGACAGTACTGGAAGGCTCCCTTCTGACACATTTTTTTGACTGGAAGGAGCCCCTTCTCTCTGAAGAGAGACCCCCTACCTCCAGCAATGACAGATGGTATAAAATATCCTTAAGATCCTGGCCATGCCCCCTCCTGGCTACTACAAAAATTAACCTTGGGCTGGCATAACGAGGAGAGGAGTTACAAAGAAAATACAGGAGGCTGTAAAGTTGTCATACTGGAAATAGGATGTTTTAAAATTACATCTAGGTAGGACAATTTGGTGATGGTCATGATATGTCATTCAGCTGCCCACTACTAGTAATTGCACAGATCAAGCATTCAGATCTCTTAATCTAGGGACAATTAGAGAGGGTTATGGTGCCTGTGAGCTTCAAGATGAACCTCCCAAAACAGCATTGAAAACTGAGCTCTGGTTTCTACTGCAGATATTTGGTTTGGATGGTAATATTTGTGTCATAGTATTATTTTTATGTTTGCTACATTAGTATTCACCAGCACTAAAAATGGACTGAAATATTTATTTAAGAAACAAAACTCTCAACTGACTGTTAGCTTTAAGGTGAAAATGTTTCTGCTGGTGAAATATATAGATGAGTTAGATTGTTACACATATTCCTGGCCATTAGAAAGACCCATTTGACTATAATGGAGAAAGTTGAGAGTTTCTGTTAATGATGAGATTTTGATACATTTTTTTCATTGAAGAAAAGGAAATCCATGAGTAATCTCTAATCTGTTACACTTAAATATTTAGAAATTGTACAATTCTACACTGGCATAAACGAAAATTTGTCAGTAGAGCCGTAAATCCATATTAAAATGGCAATTCTTCTGAAGCATGCTAGTTCACTCAGCAGGTTTCCTGTAAGTGATTTCTTGTCCTTATTTTTGGATAGTTTGTTAAACTTCAGTACAAGTATCACTAGAGCAGAAGGCATGACAAACTGAGCATACCAAGAAAAACTATTGAAACAGGTTACAGAAGTCTTCAAATGGCTCACTGAGATTTTCTCCATGCTGTTGAGTATTTTGCATTTCTGTTTTTAAACACTTTCAGGCTTCACAACCTTCTGCTGAGAATGCTGTAAATGAAGTGTCCAGCAGTGCTCCAAGATTCAGATTAGACATGTTAAAGAACAAAGCAAAAAGGTCTCTTACAGAATCTTTTGAAAGTATTTTATCACGTGTAAGTATCTTCATGTTTATTGTCTTTGAACATAATGTCATTGCTTTATTTGATAGAAAAGTCTTATTTGTTAGCATCCCAGGCCTTAGCCCAAAGGTTATTAAAGTCACAGTGACAAAAATATTTGAGTGTACATTCTAGAAGACAAAAAAAGCAGGGCTTTGCTAGATGAAGCGAACTAACTCCAAGATCAGAAAGTGTGTATATAGGCATTTTAAAAAATTAATATGAAGTTTAACATGAGTACTAATGAAAAGCAACAATTGGTTTATTTTTCTTTTGGATTTGGAAAATTAAAACAGTAATTATAATTGTTCACTTCCCTGACTAAGCATTTCTAGTGAGATGTGTTTATTAGTGACACAGAACTGATGACTAGTGGCAATCTGAACTTTTAAATTCTGTAGATTATTTGAAGGTAAGGAATGTAAAGAATGGCCCTAAGAACATGAAGGCATCTATGCAATATTACATCTGGTAAAATCCTCTGTAGACAGTGTCTGGAAATACTGATTAGTAGAAAAAACTTGAGATTCTATGTAATAGTGATTTCTTTCCAACCTAGCTAATTCTATGATTCTGTGGAAATGTTTATCACGAACAGATCGCTGAAATTAGCTACTGAAAGTGAATAGCAGCAGTTTGAAATTACATCAGATGTCAAGTTTTAATCACAATTTAAATCTATGGAGTGTCTTCTCATTCGGATGTACATTATTTTGCACCTCATGAGAAAAGTCTGAGGAAAATAATAGGAGGCTTGGAAGGACTTCTACTTGACAAGGGATTAAAAAAGTCAGACCTTCTCCCTTAAAACAAAAGAGTTGGGACAGAATGCCAAACAACAAATATTCAGGAACAGATATTGGACAGTTACATTGAAGCAATATCTAGTAGAATTTATTAGTTCACAGACAGTCAATTTGTAGTGACAAGACTAGAATTTCGAAGCTTGTTTCAGACATCATATCTAACCCATTCTCTTAAGACAAATGATGGCAAAAGCAAGGTTTTCCTGTTACAAATGTACATGTAGAGATGATTTTTAGTTTTGTATCTCCTCTTGTTACTTCCCAGACAGCATTTCTAGAATTCACCCCTATAAAATCCTACTGCAGCTGTGCTCAGGATATGAAATATAATGTTAGTGTTGGTGTATTAGCTGTAGTACTGTTCTAATTTTTTTCAGTTTGTCCTGATGGAAGCACCTGCCCTTCATGTAAGCATAGCTTACTGGTTGCATTTCCACTGGCATTGCTGTTCTGATGGAAATTCTTGATTTTGATCAGATCTGGAGTCAGAAGTTTTGGCTGAACTAGAGAGATAGTCACTGTTGTGAATACTGACAACATTTTGTATTTTTACCTGGAATAAAACTTCAAAGAGAACATGAGCTTTAACTGCAGAACATTAAAAAATGATATAATTTAAGGTTAGAAATATATAAGTTCCATAATTCTGCTAGCAGATCAGAATTCATCAGATATTTTTTCTTGGTTACACAAAAACAATCAAACACATTATATAAAAACATTGTTCACCAATTCTACAGGAGTATTTATGCTTTCTGATTTATAGGCACTGAATGGTAATACCAGAAATTGTTTTCCTATGTATTAAAATTATATGGGTTTAGTCCTTTGTAAAACACATCCTTTTTATTTCACTGTATCTTTGTAAGTACCTAATACAGAAGGTGCTTAGAAGGTTCTAGTACATGTGAAATATGTGATTATGTACAAAGCATATCATTGCCCATGAGAATTCCTTAATTCTACAGGATCCTTCAAGTTGAAAGAGACTATCCTGAATGAAGCTTCTGTTTCCCATAGGGGAAAAAGGTATTTTTAGGCATTTCAGGAAATTAAATTTGATACTGTCTGTGAAAATTACAGATTCCAACTGTGCTACCTAAATCTCTTTGGTGTGCCCAGTATATATAACTTTAACTGCTGATGTGCTTTATTTCTACAGGGCAGTAAAGCCAGAGGTCCACTGGACAGGTCTGGTTCTGTGGATTTGGACAGCTCTATGTCCAGTACCTTAAGCAGCACAAATAAAGTAAGTAAAGCCTGGGGTAATTGTACATATTTAGACACTTCAAAAAATATCCCCTGAAACAACCAAGCAAGTATGAAATATGGTCAGATGTGAATTGTTTCCAGTTGCTTTCAAGCTTTTCATTCTAATCCCTGTGTTATAAAACAGAGAAGCGCCTTGTACTGTATATAACACATATTTTGTATGAATATGTGAAGTGAAATAAAATATGATATAACATCATCTGAATTTTACAACAGTGTGCAGCAAAACAAAGGCTATAATTAACATGCTGCCAATCCTAATCTGACTTGTTTTAGCCCTGAAAGTTTATACCATGAATGCAGGACTGTATTAAAAGAAACATAAAACTAAAACAGGAAGTAATTTCCCTATTTGTGTGGTTAGAAAACTTTTAGTCTGTATAAAATACAAACAAACAGCATGGAAGAAGCTAGTCTTCTTCCCTGGAGGCAGCCTAGCACTCTGCAGGCTTAGATATACAGCTATTGATTCTGCTGTAATGCCTGCTCACCTGCAGACTCCTGACGCCATGTAAACAAGAGTCTGCACTTTCTGCTTATGTTTTTGAAAGAATGGCTGATTCTGCAGGAAATACACAAGGTGAGGAATAAAGAAAATACATGACTTGGGGTTGAAACAGGCATCTAATCATAGGCTTAAGTTCTTCGTGTGAATCTGCAGGTAGACAAGGGGAATGTTACATGGTTAGATGGGTTACTAAAGATACAGCGTTCTACAATGCTGTATCAATGCTGTATCGATGCTGCCACCCTTTTCACTGTTAGCCAAACGTCACCCTTTTGTTCTGACACTATTTCTTTTGACTTGTATTCAACATACTATAAAATACAATTACTCTCAAAATTACTCAAAATTTTCACTGAAAAGTAAAGACTCTGTTTTGTTGGCCTAAGAAGGACATAAAACATCAAACATCTTTTTTTGACCTAGCTTGATAAAAATGCGTGTGTTTGAAGAAGATGTCTATGGGATATGAATAATGACATGGTACTGCAATCTCAAAGATGGATTCTAAGCCCACATATTGATAACCTTATTTCTTACACTGCTAGGAGCCACCATTGTGTGAAAAGGAGAAAGACAGACTTCCTACACTTCCTGCAGAAAATGCTGTCAAGACCAGTGGATCACTGGATGATCTCTGCAGCGACACAGAGGATTTCTCTCTGGAGCAGTCTGTTACATTGCCCCAGCAGAGCTTTCGGAGGCGAGCAAACACACTCAGCCATTTACCAACAGAGAACCAGGAATCTCTGGGGCCTGTTGAAACATCACCATCTGTTCCTCAGAGGAAACTTATGAGGTATCACTCAGTGAGCACAGAGACTCCTCACAAACGAAAGTAAGCCTTATTGAAAGCAGGCTATGATTTTGTTTGTTGAAGGCATATTTGGGGATGATAATTGCCTACCAGGTATGTCCTCTTAATGGATGAGATGCAGTGTGTCACTCCTTGGAGGTTTGTAGGTATTCTTTTTAAAAGCACCTTTAGCCTTATGTGCTTCACAGGGGAAAAAAGACATGAGACGTGTAGTTCCACAGTATATGTCACAAACTGCTTGATTCAGTTACATTTGTCCAAGCAATCATTTTTGTTGTTTTGATCTATGAGCAGTATAAATAAATGCTACTTCTTGTTTTCTATTTACAGAGAAAAATCCTCTGTGATCCTGAAAACCTTACTAGTTGGTGATTTCATATGTAGCTTTGAAATAGCACACACAAGTGACTTAAAGTGCCTAGTTACTGGTAGAGCTGGGGCTTTTGTCTACCTTTTCATTGAGCTTATGTAGATTTTACTCACAAAAACAAACTACTATTTGCTTTAATATGAATATTCTTCAAGTTGTCCTACTTCAAAGGCCTGCCTCTGCATCTCTAGTTCCCTCTTAACTTTATGGCAGTTTTGTCCCTTCCTTCTATCTGGCTTTTTCCAATTACTGTTAAAGTACTTCTGTATTTCACTTCTCATTCATTGAAACTCTTGATCATATGCCTGACTTTCTCATCGAAATCAAGGGGAAGCACATATAAAGAAAAAGAAAAGGGGGTGTTAGTGCCATTTTTGGTGAGTTATAATTGGTCATATTCTGAAATGCCTTGCCTGTAAATGTGAATTTGAGACTTTGCTGATTGGGTTAAAAAAAAGTTCATGTTCTTACAGTTACTGCATTAACTGTGAAAAACATAGGAAATGTCTCATTTACATATGCCAGCTCCATTTCGAAGATTAGAGAAAGGGTTTCATTTTTTTTTTCCCTCCTTTCCTTTTTTTCTGTGTTGTTCTCTGTGCTACCTCAACTCCATCACTCTGGTTGGAATCCGCACTATATGGTGTGAATGAATCTGACGGCAAATCTAAAAGTTCTTCTGGTCAACTTGCACGTTCTCCTACTCTAGCTCGTCTTAATCCCTCGGCCTCTTCACCCAACTTTTTAAAATATCTAAGGCATAATTCAAGTGGAGAACCAAGTGGGCATTTTGCACAAAAAAGGTGAGCTAGTACCTGCAAATAGTTTGGGGTAGGGTTTGTTTTTCTATGTCATAGCTATGAAACTCTATAGCACAAATAATTGAAACAATTTAGTATAGACCAAAGATGATAGATTTTTATGGGGGAGAGAGCTCTTTATCCACCACTGAATGCAGAGCTAGTACTTAAATAATTAGTTGTTTTAATCAATCAAATTCTTTCAGACACTGGCTCCTTCTTTAGAGCTAGTTGTTCCAAAGCAATTTGTTGTTATGCAGCAGACAGCAGCACTCCTTAAATTGTTTGAGGGGTAAGTTGCCAAGAACCTGAGAGCTCACTCTGTCTGTCCTTCCTGAAGCATTTGATTCTGTCCTTTGTTCATGGTAACACAAAAACACTGTTTGTTTGTGCCTGACATTAAAAGCAAGTTGACCAAGTAGTTACATGAGGCAAGAAGCAGCAGGAATATGGAGAGCTGAGAGGAAAAAAACCCACCACATACAACCCCACCACCATCCCCACTCCTCACAAAACAAAACCCCAAGAATAAACAAAAACCCCAACCCATCAACCCATTATTTGTCTTGATTACTTGCAGCAATATCAAATTATGCTTCTCCATGCCTTCTTTCTTAAAATATAGACAGAGAGCATGGAATAAAAGGATATTAACACTTGTTTCCGTGAGAACCTGAAACTGAGTGGCTCCCTAAAAATCATAATTTCTTAACCCCTTGAGCCAAAACTGCTTATTTCAGCTCAAAAGGCTAATGAGGCCGAATGTCCTCAGAAGCACTGTCAACAGTCACTGTCATTGGCAAGCAATTTTTATTGCTATTGCTGTTTATTTTTTGGTTTTGTTCTCTTGTGTGAAAGTTTCCTGTTTCCCCAAGGTGCTGATTTTTCTAAACCTAAGAAAATACACAGCTGAGGATGCTGCTTCACCAGTTTCTTCAGTTGCTGAGTACTAACTAGAATCTCTTAATTCAGCTTTACCTCAGAAGTATGACATAGCTCAGGCAGGAAATGAGAGTCTGCAGAATCCTGTTCACTCTCAATTTAATAAGACTGTGATTCTGTATGCACAGTTACAACTTCTACTTTCCTTTCCCCATCTCTTAAGGGTATGCCATATTGAACATCTAAGCAGCAAAACTGAAAATGGAAATTGATAGGCATGTCAATTGGGTTAATGAGTTTAAATGAATACAGTCAAGCTTCCCAATTCTGTAAGTGAAATTACCATGTAATTGTAATGGATTTACAATGTAATTGTAAGTGAGCCCTATTTGCAGGGCACACCATGGTACAGCCTTATCTTCTTTATTTCAAAACCAGCTACTAAAGAACCTGTTACACTTCATGCCAGTGATCATCCCAGAGTATTCTACCCTCCCCCTCCCCTTTTATTCACATCTTCAGGAAACAGTGCTAAATGCCATCCAAATAGAACATTACAGTTTATCAGAAACAACTCTTTCTTAAGCTTACTTTTTCAGGAGTAAATTCTCCTACTCATGTGGCTTTGTGTAGTGTCTCAAAAAAGGTCTTCTATTATCGTCAGCCGAGTAATTTTCCATATTTTCACTCCATGCAAAAACTTTTCATTATCTGAATTATTCTTACTGTATTCTATTAACCTTCTTCTGAGTATGTTTCAGACTTCTTATTTTAAAAGACACTTAAATAATTCTTTTAAATGAAAAGAATTTCAATTAAAAGAATTATGGGCCAGAAGACTGTGAAATTTGATTAGCGCTTCTGTCTGTTGCATAAACAGAGCCACAATCTTGAATGATCAGTCAGAAGGCCTAGCTTTTAACTTTAAAGTTCCAAGTTTGTCTGAATAAAACCCTGTTAATGCTTTACAAAATAGTTTTTGCCAAAGTCTTATTTTTCATTTGCCACCACACTGATTATCAGTGTCAACTTTTCCTAACCTTTTTCCCTGAACTTAATTGGTCATTGAAACTCATATTTAAGAAAATGTGATAAAGTTGGCAATGGTTTTTATTAGATTAAAGGAATTTATTTGAAACATGCACTAAGAATCTTGCAATATAGCAAAAAATAATAACTCTTCTGGAAGTACATTTATATACATTGGAACATTCTGGTTTGCCCAAACAAATATCTCTCTCAAAGTAGGACTTTGTTAGCAGTTTTAGTTTTGACTGTGGTTTCCTTGATATTCAGACCTTCAGGATTTAGCTGCCTTTTGTTTGAAACTTAGGAATGTGTATTGTTTTTATTCTGTGGATATATACTTCTTTGTTCTAAACTGTACTTTTCCCAACTGCACTCTCAGCGTCTCCTACCGTACTGCCTTAAGGAAAAAGCTTCATTCTTCCTCTTCTGTGCCAAATTTCTTAAAATTTCTGGCTCCTGTAGATGAAAATTACACCTCTGACTTTAGGAGCACAACAAGGTAGGGTTCTCTATAAAGCCTGGAGGTAAAACTGTATTTTCAAAGATTTCTTTGTCTGAAATATTTCAAATGCTTCTTGCACTTGCAAAGCCTGATTTGTGCAAAGGTTCACCTGCGTGTATTCTGCATGTAACTGCTCTTCAGAAAATTAAGCTATCCCAGACTACTCTCCCATTAGGATGGCAGATCTTAGTCATTTTTTATGTTGCAATGGTCATGCAACTTCTATCTGTGTATTTCTGTGATTATTCCTGACACAGGAGAATTTTCACTTAAGAGAATATATGATTCATCCTAAGCAATGTCAGTGTCTTCAAACTGGAAGGAGAGGATGACCTGTAAAATGCTCCTCCCTGTTGCTGCCAGAGCTATCTGGATTTCATTTATCCCTTTCAGCTTCTACAGAGACTCATGTAACCATTTAGCTAATAGCTGGAATAAAGCAATGAATACTTCAGAGTTCTAACAGATGAAAGTTATTAGTGGGATTTTTAATAGAAAAACAGCATTGTTCCTCACTATTTCATTTTGTATTCTGAATAAAAACCTCTTTATGGCATGTGTGGATGACATCAAAGGAATAATATCCAAGGTTCTTAGATTTTGTTCCCAAGTTTCTTGCGTATTTCAGAGGTAGACTTGCTAACAGAAAGGTTTAAAGTTTTTCTCCCGGTCTGTGTCTGGGGAAAGTATATTGCATACCCAGTACACAGAAGCTTGGAAGTTCAGTTGGTGTTTATAAAGCTCCTTGATGAGTTCTGATAAAAAGCATCAGCAAGTCTTTGTGTCTCCTATGAATAATTGCTAAGTTTTATGGATGGCATGTAAATAGTGTAATGGTAAAGCTACATTATTGTGTATATATGTTAAATATGTTCTGATTAATGTCCTGCTGCAAGAAAACTGAAAATTAATTAAAACTGGAAAGAGTAGACTGCACAGAGCTGCCAATCCCTGTTTGTGAACCTCAGTGCTGTTTGCAGCCACGTGTAAGCCTCTGCCACAAAGCAAGTTCCACCTTCCTACCACGGCGAGCTTGGTCCAGCATGTGCACAGCACGCTGCACTCCCAGGGCAGTGGCCCCTGGGCTCCCCAAGGCTGTGTGGCTGCTCCTGGCACACCCAGGTACCTCACAAGCTGTTCTGTGTTTGCCCTTCCAGCAACTACGAGTCCCAGCACGGCCAGCAGGCCCTGGACACGGACAGCCCCGTGAGGACTCGGAGGCACTCATGGAGGCAGCAGATATTCCTGCGAGTGGCCACCCCTCAGAAAGCCTGTGATTCTCCCAGCAGATACGATGGTAAAGCCTGGGCTTGTTTGCTTCTGTCAGCTTATTGTGTATGTAGTGTGTGAAGCGTGAATTGTGTCCACCAAGGGGATCTGTTTGCCTAGTGTTCTGTTTGTACTGTCATTGCAATTTGCCACCTATTTTTTGGTAATACTCAGCTCATTAGTTGTTGAGGTTTTACATTTCAGCTTCACATATAAATTGTTTCTATTGCCTCATGCTAACTAGCCATGAGTACTAGTTTAATGAGTTCTGGGGAAAAAACGCATCACCAAGTATTGTGCTGAAGAAAAGAGAATGCTTCTATTTCATCTTTGTGTTGAAATATAGAACTACAGAATAGAAAAATCCATGTATACCAACTGGAATTACATTTATTTTATGATCTCATTTAAGTTCTATAGTGCATGCTTTGTTTTCATGTATGCTGCTCTAGTCTGTGACATTTGCCACTTGAGCCATAATTATCCAGTGTTCCCATAATTATTTTGTGAAATTTGTAGAGCTGAAGAACCAAAAGAAAAGCACTGCACATAAACGTGCATGTGCATAATTTTGTGCATTCACTTTATGTAAGCCAATAGTACAAGATAGCACAGGACATGCTGGGGCCAAGAATTCCTGAGAAAATACTCTGGCTCACTAAAGTTTGAATTTCACAGCATGAGCTTTGTAAATTTTAACTTCTGAGTTACCTCTAAGGCCGTTGTATGAAAAATAAGAAAATACATAAGGAAACAGAAAGTAACAGTATCTTATAGTAAATGTAGTAAAAAGTAACCATTTTAATGTCACTGAGGTGTTTTTCTTGCATCTTAAAGTGAGATCTCAATTAACTGGAGCAGGCACATAACCAAAGTGTTTCTATCATTAATGCACTGCTTGCAATGTAATTTGACTGACAGTGAGGTAAGCTGCATATATGGGCACAGATGCCTCTCAAATTTAGTGTACTTCAACATGAAGTGATCTCAGGAGCATGTTGTGTGAACATACAATGTGAAATGCTTTGTTGTACTTAAAGGCATGTTATATGAAGGGCTGTTATATAAAACTTCTATTTTTACAAGTGTGATGTCTCTGTAATAGTCTTACTTGTTTTTGAAAGCCACAAAACCTTCCCATATTAAATAGGAAAATAAAATCCACCTAAATTGCCTACCCAAGCATTTCCTCTGAGACATAATAGCTGCAAGATACAATCTTAACAACCTACAGCTGGGTAAGCAGAATAGTTTGGGAAACAAGTGCAGCCAAAATGGAAAACAGGATGTGCTATTAATAGGAGCAGCAATTTAAAATATTTGGCCTTTTTTCTTCCTTCATTTTCTTTTTCTTTCACTGTACATACTCAGTTTATGAACAGAAGAAAACTCAGAGTCAGGGTTTGGTTTTTTTTTAATTATTTAAAGCAAATACTGGGTTTTTCTATTTGGACTTTTATGCATCTCCTGGAACATTTCTGGCAGTGAAGGATACTCACTTGTTAGCCAGTCTCTGTAGCCTTAAAGAGAGCTGCTGTACAACTGGTCCTACATTGGACTCACCACCACAGATAACCAAGAAACTCCTCTAGTTCCAACATAAATGTAACTACCTATCATTCATCATCTTGTTTTTCGTTCATATTCTGTGTTTTTTAAAGTCTTTCTCACTCTGTTTAGACTGATTTCCTTTCATTTTACAAAGAGCTGATGTATCACCAAAAGATCAATTTCAGCCAAATTGGACAGAGGGCAAAGATTTTAAAGATAACATACTTTGTCATGTTCTGCAAAAGTAAGCATGAAGGGAGGGAAATAAGGGAACATCTGTGATTTATGAGTTTCCCTTTATAGACAGTCTCCACTGACCAGTTTCTCCCTTCAGGTGCCATGGCCAACACCCTACTACAGAGTAATCTGCAGGAGAGGAGTAAGGAAAGAAGCTGGGAAAGGGATGTGTTTAAAAGCTAGTTATTCTCTCAGCCAAGAGACCCAGATATCCATGACTCAGAGATTATACAGGTTTTCAAGTTTAGCCTGGGCTGCTTTACTAAACTTTGGGTTAAAGGTAAAATCCACTAGGATGCCTGAACTCTGCATTGGTTTGACCACATGTGGGCAGGCATTGTCAACAAAATGAAACTGCTCTGTGACTGCAATTTCTCTGGGTTGTAATGAGTAAATTGCACATAAGAATATGTCAGTTGTCACAAAAACTACAGACAGCTTTAAGCTTTATATTCACTGAAAAACCTAGGGTCTGACATTTGTAGTTTTGTTTGTATAGGCAGGTGGTGAGCTGAATCTCAAGGTGCAACATATTCACTGCTCTCTGTGTGGTTAACACAGCAGGATATGAAGGTGTATTTACTAAAAGTTAAAAATAAAAAGAAACCCCAGACAAGTGGTACATAGCTTTTGCTGAAATTTTGATCTTACACATTTGAGGTACTGAATTAATAAAAGTCTGATATCCTGAGTTTCCAGTTGAAGCTTGAACAGCTTAAACAGGACTGAGTCCCACTGTCTTCCACTTTGGAATCCTTTAATTCTGTAGGAAGTAGGAAGTGCTCATAAATAGTTTGGGCTAAAACTTCATTTTTCATAGTTCAGGTGGAACAAAATGATTACTGGTTGTGCTTTGGGGGTTGCTTCATTAATTACCGAGCAGAGAGCACAGCTTGTTTTGCAGACACCATTATTTAAAAGGAAGTATGTACTATACATGAAAGATGGTATTTTGTCCCAAATCAGTAGAAGAAAAATGCTTCAGATAGATATGTTAGCTGTTTTTTCTTGCCAGTTGAGATTCCTGCCTTTTCTGATCTATGCTCAGCAAGGCAAGCACTCTGAGACAGCACACAGCCTTGTAAAGAAACCATTACTTTTGGTTGTTGTGGGAGCAAAGCCCCATATACATGTCCTTTTCCAGCCACTTTCTGCTTGTTGATGCTGCCACTTTCCTCTTCCCCCAGTATTTTTCCCTGCTTCTGTACATAACTTTACAATTAAGCACATCAGAGAACTATTATGCAATTTGCTGCCTGACAGGAGAGCCAGGTGGATTCCTGGTGAGCCTGGAGATGAGGCTGATGTCCAGTTTGAAAACCTAAAAAGGGTTTTCTACATGAGTGAAATGATCTGTAGGATTTCTAATACTTTACAGCTGGTAGCTGGAGGATGGAGAGCTGAATTATGCTAGTTCCATTGTAGCAAGCTGCAGTTCAGGTTCTCCAGCCTCGACTGCTGCTGTTAGTGGCTTCCCCTGAGCTGTTGTGACTCTGCGAGGGTGTGGAGAGCCAGGGGGCAGCGTTTCCACCTGCAGACACGCTGTCTCGTCTCGGAATTCTGTTTCTGTCGTTTATTTGTGGGAGTGTAATGAGTGTTGAATCCTGCAAAGTGGACAGACAGAAAAAGGGAAGCACAGTCTCCTTACAAAATGGATCACACTTTGATCTGTTACAATGCTACATTTATCTCAAAAGAAGGCTTTTATTATTCTTTTTCTAAAGCTCTGTCCCTCCTACTCACTGTCTTAAACATTCTAAGTAATAAATGTGTTTCCTCAGTTATTTGATTTTTACCTTAATACCTCCCCACCCTACTTGCAGGCAGATATTCCTACTTCTGTAGCATCACTCAAGGGCCATATTTTTTTTTGGCTATACAGGTGGTCTAGGACTCTTTAGTTCTCTTTTCACTGGTAAAAAGGTGAAGGGAACAACAACTCAGTGATCCAGATGAAGCATGGAAACACTCAAAGGCACAAATTTTCAGTTGGCTCAGTTTTCTGGTCCCACTCACAGTATTACACAAGCAATAGAGCAGGCAGGGACAAGTGTCTGGAAGGTGAAGGTGGATGCCCTTACTCTTCTCAGGAGCAGGGCATCCTTAAATCTGTGTAGATTGATAATGAAACATCACCTTGCACTTCAGTGCAGCAAGATATTCACTTACATGTATTCAGCATCTACAAATCTCTGTGCATTGGACAATTTTCACAGACTTTTCACATATTGACTGTTCAGAATTGGTCATAGTAGTAGAACTGTTTTTCAGGTTGTCAGAAACTCCCAGCACAGTCAAGTCAATTGCTGGATTTAAGGGGGATGTAAATACTTTTTGAAGCAAATGGTGGGAAAGTGATGGCACTTGTTGGAGCTTTCTTGCTGAGGGAGGTGTGTTGGAAGTAGACAACAAGATTTTTGTAACAGCTATGTCAGTTTTACTGTTGGAGAATGGATTTGTTTTAATGTGGGCAATGTGTAATGAACTTACCAGTTGAACAGTGAAAGAAGTTGAAATTCAGAGCAATGAGATGCTTGTACCACTTTGCAGTACTCAGCAAATAAATTCAGATAAAAAATACAACTACATTTTATTTTAGACCTTGAGTTGCAGGGGAAAAATGGTATAGAAAGCACAAGTATCTCTGTAAGGAAAATGAACTTGATTCATTAATTAAAATTAATTTGGTTTCAGCCTCTGTCAGATAGGGGTGTCAAACTGTTAAATCCTAAGTGCTGAAGAAAACTTTGAATTTGAAGAACTATTATTCTTTAAACCAGCTGTAGTTAACACCTACCTACCTGTTTATGTGATTTGTGGTGTGGCTATATCTCTTGATTATTAAGGTGAATTTTTTAAAAATAATTTTGTAGTAGCATTGCAAATACAATAAACTGTTGCTATAGCAATACTATAAACTGTACTATAACTTTATTCTGTGCCTGAAGTGTTTATGGGGTGTAAATTATTTGTAATATGTTTGCCAATACTGTTGTAGCAGCACAGTTATTATTAATTAAAACCAGTTGGTTATAATTGGTTACTCAGTTCTGCTCCTTTCAGAGCACATATGTGCTCAATCTTGATTTGTGGTACAGAAGTTTGGCTACAGCCAGTAAGTACACGGTTAATGTTTGGTGGCTTCTGTGCCCATTGAAATATCAGGGCATTCCTTTCTCAGGGATTGATAATATTAGCACATGAGATTAATTTGGAGGTAGTGAGTACTTTTTAAGAAGT